GACAGCAGCAGCAGCAGAACTGTTGTGGATACTCTCCAATTATTTTTGAAAGCTTAGAACTAATTTCTAGTCTGTATAATCTATCAAGGCTTTTATTTATGCCAAACGGATTTCCCTAAAAGTAGCATAAGCAATATACAAAATTAAAACTGAAATCAGCTCCAGGTTTTGTTTACTTTAAAATTTTTCCCAGTCACTGGCAAACATGAAACTATGCTCCACCTGCCAAAACAAACGTCATTTGGTTTTCCTCTTTTCCTTTCAACTACTACCAAGCATAATTAGGTTTAGCAGAGATCCGAAATATCCAAGCCATGCCCATTGTACAGAATACACGCCACTACCCAGAGTTAGTACGGGAGAGCGCTCAATACCTCAACAGTCGCTTTCATTGTTAATCAAGAGCTGTACACATCTCCACTGCGACATTTTGCTCTGTATCGTCCATTTTTTCCTAAAGGGGATATTTTTCAAAAGAAATGTCAAACTACCTCAGTTCTGAGTGGGAAGAACTGAAACTACTTTCAGTTCCAGTTACGTTCAGATGGTAAACTCAGTGCTCATCCAAGTCCAGAAGTTTTTTCACTGTGAGATCCTCTCAGTCTTCTCCACAGCATGTTCATGCATTTTGAAGCAATCTGGAGGGTGTTATTGCCCAAGCCATTTGGGACTGCCTGTATCCCTCTTCCTATACTTTACCAAGAGTCTTAGGTCTTGTACAAACCTCATCTCTGTCTTTGAGAAAATTTGAGTGCAATGAGACCTTTTTGGGAAGGCATGCCGTCTTGAAGGATAAAAGAAATTGTATCTGTGGCTCATACATAAGACATTTTAACATTTTGATCCACCTGGGGTGAAAAAAAAACAGGAAAAAAATGGAAGTCCACATAATGGCTTGGGCACTTCTTAGGCTTTGAGAAGCCCTTGGCAGCATCAGTCCGAAGGTGTTGCTCCTGTAATGGGCAGCGTGACAGCCCAGGAGAGGACTGCTGGCAAGGGGCTCCCTTCGCTCCCCTCTGCTCGTTCCTGGAGGAAACTGGCAGCTCTTTCCGCAGCTCTTTCCGAGTGCTCTATTGCAAGATCACAGAGAACCTACGTCCATCATTTCCTCTTTAATCTCTATAGGAAGCCTTTTCAGGAAGGCAACGTTTGAGGCCACAAAATTAACAAAACACCATCCCCTTTTCACCTGCGCCATGTATTTCTGCCATCGGGTACTTGCAGTATGTTTGAAATTGTGAGTTTAATTTACAAGTATTCAACCCCGCAGCCTTAGTGATCTCTCAAAATAGCTACATAATGGAATTTCCAAGACCTTTTTATAATGAAATATATATGTGTATGTGGTTCAGGCCTTTTGAGCTCCAATGACTTCTTAACAAAGTCAAGTAGTGTGTCCATATTCCAGATTCTGAGACTATCTGACCACGCACGGGTGCGCCAAAGGGCTCCAGTCACTGGCAGAATTGCACAGGATGGAAATTCCTCGGAAATCTGTTGACTGCATTTGCAAAATGAGCAGTTAAAGAGCCTGTAAGACATTGCTCTTCCCCATTAGGGAAATCCTAAGCCCAGATTCTCAAACTGTAGCTCAACAAGATATTTGTTCAAGGTTATTTGGAGTTTAAGGTGTTCCAGCCACACCACAACACCCAGCCTGTTGTGCTGACAGCGCTGTTCACAAGCTGTGTTGCAAACTGAAGAGCGGATTGGGCTTTGCAAGAGCAAACACTGGAAGCCACACCATTTCCCTGACCCGTACAAAAACACACTGTCCAAAAGCAGCAGCGCTGGCACCACTGGGAGTAGATGGGCAGGGGGGAATATGCAGCAGCGTACAGGCACGAACAAGCATCCGGGACCGGGAACTACAGCTGAGCCACAAGCTCTGCTGCACTGAGGATGCCACAAGGTCACTGCAGCAGGACAAGTGCAGTTTGCATCACCCAGATCAAGTAGGAGGTACGCTCACGTTACCCCACCAGTCTAAAATGGTCTTAGGCCTTACGGAGTTAGGCCTCAAAGCATTTGTCTACCATCATACTCAGAGCAATCACCTGCCTGTGTGGAGGAAGTTACACAAGTATAAAGGTGCTGTGTCCCTTTACAAGAAAAGATCTAAGCTGTACCAGCATAAGAACGCCAATATAACAACTGTGAACTAGTGCATTGCCCACATAAAATTATTTTAACAAAAAAAATTACACTTCAAAACAAAATGGTTATCCCAGCAGGAAGAAAACGCACAAACCCCAGGACTAAGGCTTGTTAGCAAGGCGTACCTCTCCATAAAGACTATAAAATTCCAGCAGTTTTCCTAAATCCTAAATTTTCAGTTGCCACTCACTGTATGGATGAGATATCCCCAAAACACATAAGTGGGCTTTGCAGCTATGCATTTTACCAGCCTAGCTCATGCAAAATTAACTGGTTTTGCATACCATGTGATTTTGAAAGTCACAATGTAGATAAAGCAAAAGCAGGCATCACTGGAACACTTATCAGTTTGCTTCTCGCTGGGGACTGTTCTGTGCCAAGTGTCTGACGCCTACGTTAGCAAATACTGTGGTGTGACTCGAGCAGCTCTGTAAAGCAAAGCAAGTGGAGCTCAGAACCCCAAATCCTCAATATAAACCCTTCACAGGTTTTACTTAAGACAGTCTCTGTTTTGATACAGCGGACTGAATGCCCATTAGTGGTCTGAGTGTGTTAGGTAGGCTCCTGGAGTGCCTCTTCCCAGAGGTTTCAGGAAGCAGCTTAATTTTCATCTGAAAGTGAATTAAGTTTATGTGCTCTAAAACTGCTCGCTGGTATCAACCAAAACATGGGAAGTGAGGACAATTGGAAGATTTGCTTCAAAAGCACACTCCTGTGTCTAACTAAAACCCTGAAGACTAGACGCCATCCACAGAATAAGAATGCAAGAATAATTTTGTAAAGGAAATAGATTCAGCCTTTTTCCCATCCTCTGGCTCCTTCGTTATCTTATACTAAACACCTACTCAGTTGTATATGTGAGATGGAGGTTCAAACTTTAAACCAAAAGGAAAAATCACCTGAAGGCTGAGACTAAGTCCAGAAAATTTTAGCATGGAAGGGAAAAGAAATTTTGAAAAGGCAGCTGAGCTGGGAGTTGTATTTCATTAAATAGTAACCTGTAAACACCAGCTCTTGTACCAATGTTTCCATTCACAGGTCTTAAAATGATTTTTAAAAATTCCAGCTCCTTTTTACCTGCAAGAAGTCTAGAAGGATGAAGTGGTATGAGCAGGTAAGTAGCAGAGCAGGGAGTGAACGCAAACCTTGCAGCCTCCGTCGGTAGCTGTGTCAGCGCTGTGCGCAAAGAAAATGACTTCACCCAGTAGGGAACTTTCCAGGTTTGTGCACGGAAATGATTGCTGCTTCAAAATCAATGGATAATGAATGCTAAAACCAGCATTTGAATCCTCGCTTACCTGTATCAGCTGTCAGACACACTAGTGAGGATAATGGAGATTTGCAACGACTGTCATCCACAGCAACCAGACAAATTGTGACCCCATCGAAGAAGAAGGAATCAGTAGGAAAAAAACAGTACTTCTCCTATGCAATCTTGTCACACACAAACAAATGCACACAAAATTCGGCTTCCCTGAGTACCGTAAGGCTCAAACAGCAAGAAGCAGTTTCCTTGCTCAGTATTCATAGCCGCTTTACCCAAGACAGCACTAGCTCTTCCTTAGACCTCTCATGGCCACACTGTACACGCCTTCTGGAGTACAAATGGCTTTTAATGGCCTTCTCTTTCTGCTCCTGTGGTATTTTCTTGCTGATAGTCTCCCACACTTCCAAAACCTCTGTTGCCATGTCCTTCCTCCTCCCTACCCCTGCTACTCCTCCTTTCAGCATGTGAGTTACTCCCCTTCGCTCTTCCCAGCAGCAAGCCATGAGGAGCTCAGGAGAGACGCTCTGTCCTCAGTCCCAGTTTGGGTGGCTGGAGCAAGCATCTCCCCTATCAAATAAATGTGGCACTTGCAGAGAAAATTCAGGGCCGACCTGGAGCACGTGCAGCAAGCTCAGCAAGGGCACTGAGAAATTTTGGTACCCTCTCAGAAATTTCTACTGGTTAGGCATCGGTATTCAAGGGCTTAACATCTGATTAAGTTTGGGGGGACTTTTGTGAAGGACAAAAGGTAAATGTATTTGAAAATGCAAAGAGGCATGAGCTAATTAGCAAAATACAACCTTTATCACAGCACTAAAGGTCTACGGGACTCCTCATCACTGTAGGAACCTCCTCAGAGGACCCCCCTGCCCTGTCTGCAGAAAGGTGCTGCTTTGATGTGTTCCCTGAACAAAGAGAAAGGCCCTGATGTCGAGGGTGAAACGCAAGGAGTGACGCTTTGTGGTGGTTTAAGGAAGGAAATGAGGAGGCACGCTGTGACCCATTGAAGCTGCTGGGGAATCCAAGCAGGGAAATTTGAAATTACCCTAAGAGGGATTTAACGAGAACTGGGGGATTAACACCAAACCCAGACAAAACTAGTAGGATCTTTAATGGTCACAAATAGCCAAGCCCTCAGTTTTATTTGCCTCCCTGGGGCACTACACCCAGCAGCACAGGGCACCTGGGTCATCAAGCTCACCTTGTGAGCTGCTGCACGGTGCGGCCGAGCCCGTCTGAAGAGCAGCTCTGCCCTCATGTTCTCATCCCCTGCTGCACGTGCCTGCTCTCACCCCACAGTGACCCAAACCAAGAGGAAAAATGCCTTTTTGTGGGACTACTTTTCAGCCAGTTTAGCTGAAAACTGACCAGAGCAGGAGTGACCCAGCTGGCACCAGCCCGTTGCAGCTCGACCCAGCCGTCCTGTAAAATCACAGCACTGGGTGGGCAATTTAGCTTTGCTGGCTGTGCCTAAGCGAGACATTCTTCCCAAGCAGCTGGGTGAGGCAGGCAGACCACACTTCATTACAGAGCTGACAAGATAAAGCAGTAATTACAGGAACACGAGATCTATTACCTGACCGTCGTTGTAAGATGGATCTAAGGTGTCATGTGGGGAGAGGCAGTCCATTAATTTTCCATTCTGCCGGCAGCCCAGGTGCACCAGATCTCGGCAGTGAGCATGGCAGGTGTATTGGCAATCTGAAACACACACACAGACACACACACACAAAAATAAAAGTGTTTAGAAATGAAGTTGCGGCAGGCAGAACCTAGGAGCGTGGCACGTCCTCGTTTGCTACGTGACCTCAGAGAAACTACCACTTCTTGCCTGAATCTCCCCGTCCATATGCAGACATAATAATAGTTACATATTAGTGGAGAAGTAAATCCACCGGAGGGAAGGTGGCAGTGCAGCACACCTCAGCGTCACGCCAACATGGCTGCAGTGATGCAGTCCGCTAGTCAGCTCGGGGCCACCTCGGTGAGATGTTTTTGCAAAAAGTCCGTGCCCCATACTAGGTGTTGCGATGTAAGCACGACAGGGGCCATTCTCAGAAAAGACACAACATTTAGGATTTTCAGATAAAAATTTCCGTGCAAGTACAATCACTATTACATGGTTTCACATGTTTTAAGCTTAGGTTCTCTTAAGACCATGCACATGAATATTGAAGACAGAATGAGAAGCTTATCTGAAGCTGTAGTTAACCTGCTAAATCACAAAGTTGCCTTCCAGAACAATTCAGAAATTTCACTTCCTGGCTAGCAAAATCAACTAAGCTGGCTATTAGCAACGTAAATTCATGATAACAGAGGCAGACAGCCACTTCTCGAGTAAGAAATCCAATTCATGTGGCCTCTGTCCTGGTTTCAGCTGGGACAGAGTTAATTTTCTTCCTAGCAGCTGGTATGGGGCTGTGTCTGGCATTTAGTACTAGAAGAATGTTGATAACACACGGATGGTTTAGTTGTTGCTGGGTAGTGCTTAGACTGGCCAAGGACCTCTCAGCTCTCAGCTCTGCCAGGTGCACAAGAAGCTGGGAGGGGGCACAGCCAGGACAGCTGACCCCAACTGGCCACAGGGCTATTCCAGACCATATGATGTCATGCTCAGTATAGAAACTGGGGGAAGAAGACGGAAGGGGGGGGCATTCGGAGTGATGGCGTTTGTCTTCCCAAGCAACCATTACACGTGATGGAGCCCTGCTTTCCTGGAGATGGCTGAACCCCTGCCTGCTGGTGGGAAGTGGTGAATGAATTCCTTGTTTTGCTTTGCTCGTGTGCGTGGCTTTTGCTTTCCCTATCAAACAGTCTTTATCTCAACCCACGAGTTTTCTCACTTTTACTCTTCTGATTCTCTCCCCCATCCCATTGTGGGGGGAGTGAGCGAGCTGCTGCGTGGTGCCGAGTTGCCAGCCGGGGTTAAACCACGACACCTCTAATCTCAAACAGAGAATCACTTTAACACTATTCGCAAAAACAGCCTGTATTTGCTCTGAAGCCTTGGTGCGTTTGCTGGGTTTTTTTATGTAAGTTGGGCAGAGTTCATGATACCACTTTTGTCTAGCACTGAATGTCACTTTCTATTTTTAGGTTTTAAATTGTTTATAATTTTGCCAAAGAGCAACCACTTGTTCTTCAAGTTTCCACGCTGGGGAACATCATGCTGTTTGTTTTAGAATATTTCAGTTAAAACAATTCAGCCATTTCCAAGAATGACTTTTGGAGGAAATGCTTTCATATTCCCTAACTAAACTACTCTTAAATTTTAGGGTTTTTTTTTTGTTACAAATCTTTACACTTCTCTTGTTTATAGCAAAACCAGAGTTCTGGATGGGCATTTTTGTTCCCTTATCAGCCTCTCAAAAATCTCAGTTTCCCTTATGTTTGATGAGATTCTCATTACAGTTCCCGAAGGATAAATTCCTCAGGGTTCCCATTTCCAATCAATACTGACACTCCCACTAAGGCAAGATTAAATGTATTTTATTTTATTTTATTTGGCACAAAGTCTGCTGATACAAAATCAACCTGTCAGAACTTTTCCCAATACCAGTGACCCAGCAGAGTCCATCCTGGATCAGCGTTCTGGATCAGATAATTGGGATGTTTCTGATCTTAAACCAGACTGAATATATCGCAATAGCATATGTATCTCAAGTCACACTCCCCTTGGGACATCAGCAAATAGCCTCCAGCTAATTTGGGGGCAAGAAGGACCCTGTTGCAGTATAAACCAAAACACTGAAAAAAGACTCTAACTCCCTAAAACCATCATTGTATGTAATGCAGAATTCAGAAACCATGAAGCAAAACAGGCAGAAGGCTATAGAGGGGAAAAAGGATGGTTAGGGCAGCTGCGTGGTGCCCAGGAGAAACTATCGCTGCACCCGTGCATGGTGCTGGCAAGCTGTGCCAGACTGTCCGCAGTTGCTGCCCAATTTCTCCTGGGTGCCGCGTTTGAGCTACTTCATCCGATTTGCAGGAAACATGGAGCATTCACAACTGCAACCAAAGTCAGGGAGAACTGTGCTTTTAACTCAAACGAGGTTCTTCCAGGGCTCTGTTTTACGCTTCTGCAGCTGGGGTTATTTTTCAGACGACTCACACACCTTGCAGAGGACTTCTGGAAGCAAAAGGACGCTTGTGTTTGTGGAGCCCTTGAGAGAAGAGAATAATTTTATATATGGGAAGGGACCCCATAAGGTGCAGTTGAAAAGCCTCAGCCATACCCATCAAGATTAAGTAAAATTCAGAGCTGTTGTTCATCAGGTGAGGGAGCGGGGCAGCTCTATGGGAAAACTGGAATGGGAGCACTTAATTAAAAATGACATTACAATGCATATGCAAAAGAAGGGCAGATGAAAGTAGTACTTGAATTTCTAATTTTTCTTCATTTCTGAGTTCTTTACTCTGCTATTTATCACCTTCTTATGAAAAAATGCTTATGAGATTGCACTGCTTGCCTACCTTTCCATCTGTCCCCTGTAATTCCGAGAGAGCTGACCAATTTTAACCACATACAGTCTAAAAGCTAATTAAGTTCCTATGACTTCTATGAAAATTATCTCCTGAGTAAAGAAGGGAGACCCAAATTAATACCCCTGCTCCGGGCTAGGCAGGCGAAGCTCAGCCGTTATGCCATTGTCTGGCAATGTTTGGACAACCGGTTACTAAATGCATCACCTCCATGGCGAGGAGGTTACGGGGAATGGGGCACAAATCTGTAGGTAACCAGGCTTCACTAATTCCCCAACTTTCTGTGATTACGCAAACATATATACTGCGCATGCACCAATTCCAAAGACGCATTTTCACAAATAGTATTAGGAAAAAATCTGTTAGCTTAACAGTGTTCTGAAACAGGATTACTAATTAAGTTAGGAAACATTATCTCTCAATGCTATTTTGTTTGTCATTTACATTCATTTTAATTTGTGAGTCCATAATGTCATTTGTAAGACAAGCCCATAATTTCTGCCTGGCTATTATAGGCCTAATTGCAAAAAATGTAAAAGCTTCATCTCTGAAACTCTTTCGATCATAAACTAGATTTTAACATACCGATTGTAAGTTTAATGAGCAAGACAAGAAAAAAAGGATGATTTTTTTCTAGAACAGTAATACTTAAAACTTTCTTCCTATGTGTTTTGGCTTTAAATACACTATTTTATTCCGTTCATGGCATACGATATTTCACAAAGGCCCAGGTAGCAGCAAATTAAAAATAGTATCTTTTTCTGGTCATCCTTTACTGGACCACTCCCAAAACTGCCATGAGTTCAAAAAGTAGCTGTTATCCCAGAAAGACTGTTTTGGTCATCAGATGGTGGATCGCTGTATTATTTCTGCTTGGAAAGCAATCAGAACCAGGTGTTCTTTCCTGATGTGGTCTGCAATGAATGCTGTCCTTTGAATTCAAAGATCTGGGGGTTTAACTGGGCATAGCTGATAAAAGCATTCGCTGGCATTTAGGCAAGCTAACAGGTTTATTTTACTAATGCTCAGGCTGTCCTGTACACTGAAGTTATTTATGAAAGTCATGCATCAATGCACATTGAATATGCATAATTGTCCTGCATCGTTAGGAAATGCAAAGTAAGTATTTATTAAACATACAAATATTATGCTTTAAAAGTTTCATTGTCAGCTACCGAGACGTAACGTAACACCCTGTTATTTATTACTCTGTTGCAACAATGGCTTGACTAGTCTCATAGAAAAAAAAAACGTAGCCCATTTTACAGTTACACGAAATCAAGACTACTCCTATCCTGCCTTCACAGGGGTGAACTGTAACACTTCAACACATTCATTTCATGTGAATAGACCCTACCTGGTGTTCGGGTTTTCTTCACGTGAAACTTGATTTTGCCTGATAGCTTGTAAATAGCCGTTCCCATAACTGATTTGCTCCAGGGAGGCGCAGCAGAAAGCAAGCAAGTGAACAGGCAGGCAACCCAAACAGATGCTCCAACATCAGACCCTGGTAATTGAGCATTACTGAATCAGGCAGAGGCTAAACAGCAAAGTCTCTCTACCCTGCTGCGGTCTTCCCTGCCTAGGAAACGTGTGTGTTCATTTCTGCGACGGCCCAGACGAATTTAACTTCCAAATGGATGTGCAAAATGGAGGTTGTGCCTGAGCAACTGAAGCACATGGAAAGTTCAAAGCCAAATCTGTATTGCGTTTGCATTATTTATCAACTGCAGTAAGATTGAAGAAGTCTTTATTAGAAAGTGTGGGGAGGGTATACAACTTGGTCCTGCTACTGTGTGTGTTAGGGAGTTAGCAAGTAAAATCATCTTTGCTTGAGAGCCTGTGGCTTGGTTCCCAGCAATCAGAAGAGGGATTACTGCTGTGCTTGCTCTGTGGAAAGTATTCTTGGAAAAATACTTGAACTATGTAAGGTGCTCCACGCTTTAATTCGTAATCCATTTCCAGCCAGCAGGTCACAAAAGGAAGGAGAATGAAGTTCAGCGATATTTCTCCTGCAAGGCAGAACTGCATTGTATTTCTACAATACATTGATACCAATGTCTCACATTTCTGTTTGTACTAAATATATGTTCTCCTTTTTGCTGATGCTCAAATGTTGACGTTCTAGTTTGATGCTAAAGTTGCTACCAAGATCTTTTTTAGCAGTTTCACTAGAAGCTGTAATGGAAGGAGAAGCCTGTTTGGATAAAACAGCCTTC